AACGAAAAACATTGGCAACGGTGTTTTGAATCTTGATATAACATTTACGATGTTGGTTGCCTCGTAACCATAGTTGGCTAGTTCCTGTTTTATGATCGCTGGAGGTGTGGCGTGGTGTAAATTTTTAATAACTATTCGAGGCATTTTATCTTCCGGGAGTTGATATGTGTGAAAATCAGCTCCTCCCCTTCTAAGACTGGTCACTAACCTACGGTATATTTCTGCGTTTTCAGGATACACGCTGACTCCTCTCATAGACGTTTTCAACCTGAAACTGTTAGGGCCACCTTCATTGTGAAGATAGGTTACTAATGCCGTGTAGTCTTTCACATCGTTTATATGAATAGGTGGAGGTCTAATAATAATGGGATTATTATTTGCTGGCTGTCTATCTTCCGGAGTATTTGATAAAACTTCGAATCGATTGTTAGTAATAATAGTATCACTAACCTTTATTTGTTTGTGACATGGATCTCTGTCTGAAGCTACATGTCGTTTTCGTCCAGACACAACTTCCCAGGACATAGCTTCTGGTGCATTATCGTGGTTGACTTCATTTGGTGAATCGTTTGAAGCCGAAGTTTCCGTCATTTTTAGCGGAAGAATCCGCTGCACCAGTAATTTTACTTCAATTGATTGCACTTATTTAACTCACGAATATGGAAGAGATAAAGGAAATCAACATGCAATTAATTGACTTAAACTTGTGATAATTCAATAGAATTTGGAGAGAGAAATAAATTACGTTTGTAACCTTCAATCAATCACCTGTTTCCCAATTTTTTTTTTAAATAATTTTTTAACACGAAAATTACTAAGATTTAGGAATCAATGAGTTTTTTAAGTAGAATGCCTTAAAGGATCTCTATATCTATTTAAAGATATAACAAATATATATACATCTCTAATAAATTCGTTAATTACCCATTAATTTAACAGATTGACCGAAATGAAGTGTGATTGAGCAGTTGAGGGTCGGCACCTCTGAGAGAAATCGAGGGCGCTGATAAATTAAATTATCTTCCCTAATGAACCGTTAAACCTAAACCTTAAATCCATATACCACGAAAAAGGGTTTTCCGATCCCTCTTACTGACCATCAAGCTTAACCCTTCTAATCCAATCAAAGTAAAAAATATATAGTTTAACCGAATCGCACAGTTATCATAACTAATTAAATGGTTTGAAAGTTGAAGTTCAAACATATTCTCGGGATTTTATTTGGAATCAGGTCGATTAGGCAAAATTCAGAAAATAAAAAGTAGTGATAATATTTGACCTTGACTATCAGTTATACAGAAAATGAAGTTTGTTTTTTTGTGTGTAATGAGAAATAATAGGGTTAAAGATTTCCAGTAAACTGAAATCATTGGGTAAGCGCACCAGTGATGGTGTAATGCCGCCGTAATTATTATAGTTATAAAGTTCTGCGTTGGCCGTTTAGAATCTCTAGGGTCTCCTTTTTCTATGTAACGCTTTAAAATTGAAAAAATAGTCAGTTATGGGGGTATAATCTCCATTTTAAAAAAAAAATACCTTATTGCACTAGTGATGGTCACCCCTAAATTCAATTGTTCTATTGATGGACAGGAATTCTATACCAGTAAAATACATGCCTCGGAAAAATTCAAAAATCTTTATTAAACTATAAAGATAAGATAACATAAATTTTCAACTTACTCTAATCAAAACTGTAAGAGGTATGAAACACACTGATCTCAAGAGCAATATAGAAATTTCAATACAAGACAATTTAAAATGTTCTTTTGGGAACTTTATTCATACAGTTGTCAATGGAGGAAATTCTTCAATCTAGAAAAAACTTGAACCTTTCAAGCAATCAATCATTCAACCAATAAGGAAACATATTATTTACATTTAAAGTCCAACCTGTCCATCACTGGCTCCCTGTCCATAACTGGTGTGTTCACCCTAAATAATAAATGCTTTGAATTATAAGTTTTTAAGAGTTAAGAATACTTTAATCAACTATTGGTAGCTTAATAACGAAGGTTTATCTGAGGTGCCATGTAATCGAGTAACATGGAATATACTATAATAATATGTGTTAATAATATACTATAATGGAATATACCTTACTATAATTCTATAATAATATACTATAACGGAATTAATACAATAATTCTCATTCTAGACTACACCATCAAGCATTAAGGAAGAAACTTCAAACTTGTCGAAGAAAAGCTTACGGTACACTTGCAGCAATTATTCAAATTTTGTTTATGAATGAATATTTTATGTGAATCTAGCTTTAAGAACTGAATTAAATTACTCTTTCGATACCGTTATGTAATGAAATAATCCGTTATAAATTTTAACAACTCCCTTTGACAAATTACTGAATAAAATTTCTTATACTCAACATCTCACTAGTTTCGTAGAATATCTTCGAGGCTCTCTCAAATCATTATAAATTAACATCATGCTAAATAAATGTATACAAATTTAAAAAAAAGGATAGAAACAAATTTTTTAAATGGCACTAAACATTGGTAGAGCACCGAAAAACGGCAATAAGATGATAAGATCAGGGGAAATCGTCATAAAACATGAGCTCTTTCAGAATTAGATTATTCTCCAATGTAATAATTCTTTAATCCAGTTTGATTGTAATAATAAAATTTAATATAATCTTGCATAATTCACTTTTAAAACCACTTTGCCATTTATTTTGAAATACAGCAAGTTTTAGACCCCATAATTTCTTATATTTTGGATTGTTGTAGGGATGGGATATCGAAGGACCAATATCGATTTAAATTAAATTTAATGAAAATTAATTAATGAAAATATCAATTCTTCTACCCTCCTTAGTAAAATTAATTTTCTAATTACTGTCCACCTTCTTTATCCTCAGTTTTTTTTCAGAAATTTCTATTCAATCAATTATGTTTTCCATTCACCTATAGATCCGATTCAGCGAAATGCTAATTTATTTTAATCCTACACAATTTACTATGACGATTCGTGGTCTTTGTTTAAAAAAGTTTTAATGAACAAATTTGGGCAAATTGAGTTTACTTCAAAAGAAGAGTGAGAAGCGTCCCGCGCTACCTAACTCCACTTAAGGATGGCCATCGAAAGTTGATATTAATGAAATATCCATATTTTTCACGACTACGCACTACATACTACTATGTGAAACAGGCAAGATAGAATTTATTTTTTTAACCGATTTTTTTTTTTTTTTTAATTCCTAGCTTTCAACATAACAATTTCAAATTAAAATATCGAAGTAGATACTATCGTTAGTAAAATATCGAATATCGGAAGGAAAATATGGCCTAGATTGTTGTAATGCATTCATTTCTCATAACCTATTGTGATTCAATGCAAAATATCCTTCGTGATATCGCAAATTGATGTTGAATTATTCTGTAATATTCTGTTTGTTCCTCTTTCATTTGACGAAAATTCTATACTTGTCCAACTTCAAATGTTTTTGCCCTCAATTCTATTTCATATTCTTCGTGTCGAGATCAAAACCATTGAATCTTATAAAGCAGTACATGCAAGTCCAAATTGATGATGCGTTGTTCCGTATGCCTGGAGCAGAAATAAATGACTCTCAGCTGCCTTACACTTATAATGGAAAGAGAAAAATAAAAACTTTTGTTTAAATTGAGTTTCAATAGCGTGAAATTCAACATAACTAGAGTTCAAGAAAACAATTGATAAAATGGCACGTATTGGGAATCAAATCTTTCTGTTAATGATCTAACAAGAGGTTATGGTAACTAGTACTATTACTTTACAACTAGTACCTCCAATAAATTAGAGTAGAGTAGATTATCCTTATTTGCTATATTAGGTTTGTATAAGTTGGTTATGAATTGAAATTTGAGAATCCTATTAGTTAATAAAGACGGCTGAACAAAATTATTGATGTGGGACAATTGATGAATTATCGAGGTTTAATTCTTAAAGTGCGTTTAGACATTTCACAAACTATGGAACGAACAAATTTATAAATGATTATTTCACTATGCTAGTATTTTTGTTTTTGATATTTTCCTGTTTTCTAGTTTTTGTACTGCTTACATCTGCTGACTGTATCATTACAAATAAAACAAATAGTTTTGTTTAGCAATAATGTGGCTATTAGTTATATTACATAATTGTGTTTTACATAATTTGTGAAATGTCTACTGAACGTACCTTTAAATACCTCCCTGATGTATTCGAAGTATTCCTGACATCAGCATACAACATCAAATCCCTAAAAAAATTTGTGAAAAACATCGAACTACATTGAGAGTTAAATTAGATTTAGGTCACTACAGTGAGATCCTCAAGTTTAAACTTGAGTTACAAGTTCCCTGACGCAAACAACCAATAGAACTGAATTTGTGGCAACTTACTAATGGATAATGAATTATTTATTTCAGATAAAGGTTTAAGGAAGATTTAATTTATTGAACAAATCTCTCCATGATTACTTACTGTTGTTTAAACTATAATGCGTTAAAGCGAAACTAATACGAAAAATGCTCATAACAACGATCTCTATACTTCCAAATAAAACATAGAAGTTCGAAAAAATGCTGTCAATTAATAATAACAATCAAGACAACACACTTCCGTTTATCTGTGTTAGAAGTGTTCCGTTATCAGGTCAGCTCCTTTTCTTTCCAGCGGCCATTGAAGTATCTTGTAAGCCTTCTCTGTAAATTTAGGTTGCCAATTTTTTTATATCTTAAAATCAAGTCAATAGTCATTAAAGTTTTCCTCGTACTAATGCCGAATTATTACCCTGATAGTTGAATTTAATTCCTTGTTTTTATTTTGAACTAAATTAATAAATTCTTATCTCTACATCACAATTCTTAACTGATATCTCTATATATTTATGTATTTTCGTTCTCTTTATTTCATTTTTTTCATATATTTATCCATTGCCCACCTAGAAAGGTGTATTACTTGCATTCTAATTATTAAAACAGTTAAGCTGAATTTTAATTGAACCTCACAGATCCGATTTTACAGATGATTCGAATTGACCAGCCTGGTGAGAGCCGCTCTACCGTAGATTCCAGTCAATTACATGTGACAGAGCCACAAGAGCCACATCCATCAGAGCCACAATGCAGCGGCACCAAAGCTGAAGTAGATATTGAACAGGGTCGAGTTGACTCGATGGCCGCCGCTCGGTGGAGCAAGTGCTTTAACCCTCTTAGTGATAAAGGATAAACTGCATCCCTGGCATAATTAATCATCATAATAATATTTTCAATCATATTCATCTGGCTTGACACTGATTGAAATCTCTCTAAACAAAAAACTAACCTATATTAATAATATGTGATAACAAGCTTAAAACCACATGATATGGCAATCCAGATTTTAGGATTTGCAGATGATTTAAATCTTGCAGAAAGAACTCTGAAGAGAGAGAACGCAGCAAGAGAGAAATTTTGGACATTGGAGAAGTGTGCAGCAAATCTAGGTCTTATTATTAATATTGAAAAAAAAAATACTTGAGCACCCTAACTATTCGCAAATATAATGTAAATCATATCTCAACAGGTTTGAAACAGTTCGATCCTAATTGGAATCACAGGTGAATCACGAGAACAGCATAGTGGATATAAGCCGTGAACTTTGAGTAAACTGTTCGTAAAGACATTAATACTTTGCAGGGCTGGCCATGTTGCAAGAATGGACCCGAGCGAAACATCTTGCAGGACATAGGCGCCGAACACTCGCGGTGCTTGAGCCCCCCTCCCCTTACCAACGCTACCGTGGTGAGGACTCAGCCCCCCAACAAATTGCTGTAATATAAACTTCATGAACATATCGATTGTGTACATTAAAGTTCCATTACAAAGGGCTTTATCTATCTACTAGCACTAGAATTTGTTTAACGGTGTCCTATTTTGGATTTATAAACTCATCTAAACATTAAAAGGAATCATCTATTAAAATACTTTACTGTTTCAGTTTAAAGTATTCGGTGTTATTACATATTTTTGTCATCAGAAAGGGCTTGAAACAACTCAATGCCTGCCAGAGATGGTAATTTTTCATACAGGCATATACTCTAAATTGCTCATAGGAAAATAGAAAATATCTCTATCAATGCCACCACCTTCACAGATCCCACGATACCCTCCTAGCCCATGATCTTATAGTTTACCCTCCTCTCCCCTCCCCTAATAATTTTCATAAATCGGCGCCTATGTTCCAAAATCCTATTAGACGAAATATATGATACCAAGTGGGTTGGACTTCCGAGGTACCTGTGCGAAGACTGCTTAGCTGCTGATGCAAGATCTCTGCTTAGGATTAGAAACTGGAAGGCATAAAATAGAGAAAAATGATGATTTTTGATAGAGGAGCGATCTTCGACTCAACAGTAACGCTATACAGTAGAAGAAGTAATATCAAATATTGACGTATTGCTAAGTTAAAAGAATAATAAGTATAATGGTTCTAAATGTGCATTATTTTGCACGCTATCAACAAAAGAAAAAATAAATGTGAGATCCGTAATCGAACTCGATGCAACTCATGTAGGTTGGTCATAACCATAACCCTTAAACCGCGTTACTGAATCAGAAATCGCGTTTCAGTAACAATAATCGCCCAGAGGTATTCCAAAAGGATGTTCAGTTTCAGATAAATAAATAAATATTCGTGTACCTGCTGATGTTTAACAGTGAACCCACAGTAGACCTATTTTACAATGTCTTTGAGATTGTGTGTGTCTGTGTAAAGAACATCGCCCAAATAGTCCTAATGTTATGCAGCTGTGGTTAGCATAGTTGGTACTAACCTTTTTTATCATGGTTGGTATTTTTAGTAAATTCATAAGCAAATTATAGGTTCATACTGCCGTATTATAGAGCCATAATTTATGAAAGGCGTAGATACACTATCAGAGCCTGGGCATTACATGCTTATAATATAGCATATAATGCACCTTTGAAAATAATTCTAAAATTCCGACCAAGCCGGAGCATGTGAAAGTTTTTATGTAAAGTAATGTTGCTGAGGTACCAGGGAACTGTGGATATAATCCTGAAACTTTTCGACTAAAAAGTTTCTAGCTCGCTTATGTGGACTTTTACGGTTGTCTCTTATTATATATGTTAAGCGTAGATCCAAAATGGTTAAAGTAAGTAGGTAAGTGTGTGTTCAATTTCGAACGTTTTTGGAAGGAGTGAGTATAATAGCCATAATCTTAGGCTTAGTGTTTTTATTTTTATTTTGTTGGATGAGACCTGTCTTTTTTTCTGAAATATCAGTCCAAGATACAACACTTTATCGGACAGAGGACTTTGTTCAGGTAAATAGGAGAGTAAGTTTCATGTTGAACGGTAAAAGTAATATGTTGTGATTTGTCTTGCTCAAGCCACTTAGTTTGCACCAGCCATGAATTTTTGTTATATGCTGTCGTAAAATCTGTTAGGCGTGTGTGTAATGTATATGTATATACACAATATTCTGTTACTGATTAAAAAATCTGCTTGAAAATATTACTTCTATGGCCTATTCTAAAGGTAACGTATCCTGCTCAATATACAACAAAATCAGTCTATTAAATAATGAGCTTGAATTGGCAATAAATTGATTGGAACAGAATATTAGAGATCCTGTGCCCGCTAGCCAGACCTAATCAACTGGCTACAATAGTAGCTGGTTAATGGCTCAACTAAACTGTTTAATCGTCGTCCAGATTAGCTTGCTTAATTATTGCATCAATAAAAATAACAACTTTAGTTCCATTCAATATTTTTCATAAAGAGCTTATTTTATATGTCATTCATAAAGAGAGTAAATATATAAATAAATAGGCATCTTTAACTATGTTAGAAAAAAAGCGATAAAAAATTGTTTAAAAATAAATGTTTTCTTGATCAATTTAAAGTACTTCCATTAAGCCATGGAGGCCATAATCACCAAGAACTTCAAGGCAAAGGTTCCATAGTTTTCGGTGTGGGTTCAATTTTCACATGAGTTAGTTATATTTACTTCAAGGTGATCCGACGAAGTAAACCACGACTACCACTTTGGCATGCATAAAACAACGGTCCTAGAGCATTTATTTTCCTAGAGTGGACCTCTAAGTAGAAGGGTTTTTTTAAGGATTGTCAAGAAAGAGCCAAATTCTGGCGCTACTTCCTAATCTGTAATGCGATGCTTAGGTCAATTTTTTTTTTTTAGATTTATAGGTCTTTCAATTAATTTGTATCTGTTAAATCAACATTAAATTATTAATTGATTTTTATTTAGTTCAGTTGTTAAAATAATCAAAACATCGGTTGTTCTATATTTACCATTTTTCCAAATTTCTAAGGAGTTCTATCCTCTCAATGGCGATGGAACATGCACTTTCCTCAAAATTCGTATTGCTTTCTTCTCCTTAAAAAAAATTACATAAAAGTAAAATAATAAATATTGTAGTTTAGCTTTCCTTTGTTCCTTGAATGAAGTTCTCTTCAATTGAAACAACAAAATGATTTCCTCCAAAAATTCCTATTCACAATCTAATTCTTCTTTACGGTTAAGCAGTGTGAGGTTCCTTTTTGTAGAGCTTCTTTTCGGGAGATTCGGGGTCTTCCTCTCGGCCTTCTTTCTTGCACACGAGTATCAGAATAAGAAGGAATATCGTTCTAAATCTCACCACTACACTGAGTTAAAATGGCTCTTTCCCTCCATTCGAAGACTATATTTTCTAGGTACGTTCCTCTATCATATCATCAACAATCATCGTCCTTCTTACGCCTACAACCTTCTCCAATTCTAGTCCTCAGTCCACTCCCTTTCCACAAGATCTCGGCCTTCCGACCTTTAAATTCCTTCTCACAGATCTGCCTCGTTCCAAAACTCCTTTATTGCTCGCTCTGTTAATTTTTGGAATTCTCTTCCTATCGAAATTCGGCATTCTTCATCCCTATCTACATTCAAAACCCTACTATTCCAATCCCTGTCCCAAAAAGTCAGATACCCGCTAACCTTTTATGTAAAATTACATATAGCTCATAACTGAAATGCTTATTAGCAGATTCGACTTTTTTTTTTTTTTTTTCTAAAAGTCTATATTTATATTTTACAATTGTACGTAGTTTTATGTGTCTTGGCAAGGTTTCAAGAGTTTTGTATATAGATTTTTTGTTTTTTTATTTTGTATATAGTATGTAAAACTAATATTTTCTTTACTGGTTTAGCTTTACCTTTACTTTTTATGTTTGTTTTTATTTGGCCAGATATAACATTTTAATTTTGTAATTCTTTGTTATTCTGAAGGGACTTCGTCCCAGAATAAAATTATTTTCAATTCTATTCTATGTATAAATAATATTTTCTTTACTTTATCTTTACTTTTTATCTTTGTTTTTATTTAGCCAGATATAACATTTTAATTTTGTAATTCTTTGTTATTCTGAAGGAACTTCGTCCCAGAATAAAATTATTTTCAATTCTATTCTATGTATAAATAATATTTTCTTTACTTTATCTTTACTTTTTATCTTTGTTTTTATTTAGCCAGATATAACATTTTAATTTTGTAATTCTTTGTTATTCTGAAGGAACTTCGTCCCAGAATAAAATTATTTTCAATTCTATTCTATGTATAAATAATATTTTCTTTACTTTATCTTTACTTTTTATGTTTGTTTTTATTTAGCCAGATATAACATTTTAATTTTGTAATTCTTTGTTATTCTGAAGGTACTTCGTCCCAGAATAAAATTATTTTCTATTCTATTCTATGTATAAATAATATTTTCTTTACTTTATCTTTACTTTTTATGTTTGTTTTTATTTAGCCAGATATAACATTTTAATTTTGTAATTCTTTGTTATTCTGAAGGTACTTCGTCCCAGAATAAAATTATTTTCTATTCTATTCTATGTATAAATAATATTTTCTTTACTTTATCTTTACTTTTTATGTTTGTTTTTATTTAGCCAGATATAACATTTTAATTTTGTAATTCTTTGTTATTCGTAAGGGACTTCGTCCCAGAATAAAATTATTTTCAATTCTATTCTATGTATAAATAATATTTTCTTTACTTTATCTTTACTTTTTATGTTTGTTTTTATTTAGCCAGATATAACATTTTAATTTTGTAATTCTTTGTTATTCTGAAGGGACTTCGTCCCAGAATAAAATTATTTTCTATTCTATTCTATGTATAAATAATATTTTCTTTACTTTATCTTTACTTTTTATGTTTGTTTTTATTTGGCCAGATATAACATTTTAATTTTGTAATTTGTTGTTATTCTGAAGGTACTTCGTACAAGAATAAAATTATTTTCTATTCTATTCTAAATAACTCTTATTACAAACAACTGCAAAAAAATATCAATGTTCTAAAAGATAGATATAATCCCATAAGTACCTTTCACACCCTCAATCAAAACACAATGATTTTGGTTGCTGAAATGCCCCGATACTTGGAACGCAATCTACTTGCCATGAACTATAGTGTATACTGGAAGGAACCCTAC